CCCCCCCCCACCCCCCGGTTTTATTTTTAAGGCAGTCACTCACTGGCTTAGAAACAGCCAACTAGGTTGGCCGACCTGTAAACCATAAAGGATCTTCCTGTGTCTGCCTCTTTGGTGCTGATATCACACATATGTACCACACCTGGCTCTTCAATGTGAATACAGGCACTTCCACTTTGTGAGAGAGGGTCTCTCTTTTTTTGGTCACCACTGCACATGCCAAGCTAGCTGGCCTGTGCGCTTTTAGAGATCCTCTTGTCTCTGCCTTCCATCTTGCCATAGGAGCACTGGATTACAGATGCATCAGGGTTACGGACATAACGCTATGCCTGGCTTTATGTAAATTTGGGAGATTTGAATTCATGTATTCATGCCTGCACACCACCTCTTTACCTAATAAGTCATCTTTCCAACTCCCTTTAAAAAAGGTTTTAAACAAACAAACAAACAAACAACATAGATTCTGGGGATCAAACTCAGGTTCTTGTGCTACCTCCCCAGCCTCCTGGCCCAAATCTTTGATGACTGTCCAAATGGTATAGGGACAATGAGATGTAAGGCTGAGTTGGACAGATAGGGCCATGCTCTTCATACCTGTGCTGCAGGCTCCTCTGTGGTCTTCATATCTGATCCTAGGACTCTCACCAGTGAAGAATGTGCAAGAGGCTTCTTCCCTGTCCTGGCAGCCACTTGTTTTTCTACTACAGTTGGGGGGAATGTTTCATCTACCACATGGCACCCTTCATGGACTTGCATCTGTAGTTGGTTTCCTTGCTTAATGTTAGCCATCTGGAAACATGTTACAAGAGCATGTTAAAAAATAAAAAATACACCGTGATTCTCTTTTTCCAAATGAAATGTCAAAGCATGGACATATAGAAGCATAGTAAAATATGCTATGACTTTTGTTTGCATTTCTTATTTATTTATTTATTTAATCCCAAGTGCTGGGATTAAAGGCATGAGCCACCAACGCCCAGCTGCATTTCTTTTTTAAAATGTATTTATTATATATACAGCATTATGTCTGCATGTATGACTACACACCATAAGAGGGCACCAGATCTCATTAAGGATGGTTGTGAGCCACCATTTGGCTGCTGGGAATTGAACTGAGGACCTCTGGGAGAGCAGTCAGTGCTCTTGACCTCTGCATCTCTCTAGACCCTTGTTTGCATTTCTAAAAGAACAGGTCAAGCACCTAAACTTTTGAGGTAATGACATGATGCCACAAATGGAAAATTAGCACCTGGCATTTTATGATTAGCAGTAATCAAAATATTCTATACTAAGACTACTATAGAAAATTACCTTCAGACTATGTAAAGAATGAGACAAATTTCAAATTTAGTCTTAGGACCCATTCCTAAGATATCTCATTATGAATGTACAAATATCCAAAAGTAAAAAAAAAAAAAAATTAAAATAGACACACATCAAGTTCCAAGAACTTTGGATAGTGTCAACCTCCATGTTATCATCTAGCCTGCTGTCAAGAATATTAACTATAAATAGCTTTATTGTGTTAAGGTTTGAGGAAATTTCTTTCTTTTCTTTTTTCGAGAGACAGGGTTTCTCTGTATTGCTTTGGAGGTTGTCCTGGAATTCTATCCGTAGACCAGGCTGGCCTCGAACTCAGAGAGACCCACCTGCCTCTGCCTGGGATTAATGCCATGAGCCACCAATGCCTTGCTGAGGAAATTTCTAGGTTCGATTTTTCCATTAACTAGGTTCTCCTTTCATTTTTTTGGTTTGTCTGTTTTGGAGATGGGGGTCTGTCTGGGGTTGCCCTCCTGGCCTCCAGCTCAAAGTCCTCCTGCTTTACCTCCTAGGTACCACAATTACAGGTGCGTACTACCATGCCCGGCTTTTAACTGGTTGTTCTATATTAACTCTAATCTCAACTTTCTAAAAAACAAAAATCAATTCCAGACTAACACTAATCACGGAAACTTAAAGCTATTCCTGATAGCTAAGCATTTACTTTTCACTAACCTCGTATTTTACAAAGCAAGCTTAAGTAGTTGTATCTTTGTGAAGAGCATCTTCCTAATAATATATTTTGGAAATTCTGTCAAGAAGTAGTTTGGCTTCGATGAGGGAACTTAAGTGTTTAAGAAAAATTAGGGATCAAATGGCTAGGTTTCTAGCCCCACCCCCCTTTCATAGCTGTTTTCCTATACAATAGACTTAAGATTCCATTTAAAATAACACTCCATGTGTAACTATGTCAACTGATGGATGAACTAGCTCATTAAGTTCATTGTCCTAATTAGGATGCGATATAGAACACTTCCCTAGCATGCACGAGGTCCTGAGTTAGATCTGTGCACAGCAATATTTTGGTTTCTTCTGTTGCTCAACTTATCCCTAAACTAGGCTCAAACAAGCCTCCTGCCATTTCTTTTTGTTTCTGAGACACAGTTTTACCACATAGCCAAGGCTGGCCTCAAACTCACTGAATAGCCTTAGTGGTCTTTGAACTCAATGGTGCAGGTGCCTTGGCCTCCCGAGTGCTGGCATTAGAGGTATAGCTCCACACCCAGGGCTTCTTTTGAAATGGTGAGATGGTGGCACCAAGACCAGCAATGAGAGGACAACAACTTGAACTCTATTAGGAACTGCCTGCTGCTGAGTCACATGACCACTTCCACAGCAGTCTCCCTAACAAAACAGATGACTTTCCAGTGGAGATTAGGGTTCGATAAATATTTTTAAAATTACTTGAAAATAAAATGAAGTAAACATTACCTTAAGTGCTTCTTCATATTCTTCTAAAAGGACCAAAAAAAAAAAAGAAAGAAAAACAATAGTGACTTATTTTTACCAGTCCTAAAGATTCCATTGCCTATTATCAATTCTACAGTTTTTTGTTTTTTTTTTTTGGGGGGGGTGAGGGTGGGGAGTGGGGACCCAGCTATGTAGCCCAGGCTGGATTCAAACTTTTTTTTTTTTGGGGGGGGGAGGAGTTCGAGGCAGGATTTCTCTGTGGCTTTGGAGGCTGTCCTGGAACTAGCTCCGTAGCCCGGGCTGGCCTTGAACTCACAAAGATCTGCCTGCCTCTGCCTCCTGAGTGCTGGGATTAAAGGCGTGCGTCACCACTGCTTGGCTTTGGCTTTAAACAATCCTTTGTGTGTTGTGATTACAGAAGGGCAACATAACACTTAGCTAGTACTTTAGTTCTACAACATGAAGAATACAGTTAACAATAATGTACTGTATTTAAGAATTTTGCTATAGATTTCAGCTACTCTCAACCCTGAAGTGGCAGGCAGGGTGTGGGGGTAGCAACTGTGAGATGACACTTTTTAATTTCTTTCATTGAACTAACATGTTTTTAAAGCTATTGATATGTATTTCATATCAATGTTATACATCTTAAAAATATAGTTTATTTATTTATTTATTTATTTATTTATTTATTTATTTATTAGTTTTTTTGGTTTTTCGAGACAGGGTTTCTCTGTGGCTTTGGAGGCTGTCCTGGAACTAGCTCTTGTAGACCAGGCTGGTCTCGAACTCACAGAGATCCGCCTGCCTCTGCCTCCGGAGTGCTGGGAAAAAATAGTTTATTTTTAAAAAGTAAACCCAATCCTACTCAAATTCTTATAATTCTTACATATGGATAGTCACTACCTTTTTGCTAGACAA